GTGGCTTAAAACTCACACCGGGCGCATGTGCGTGCGTGCCCAAGATCCCGAGAGGAGAATGGAGGAGAAGGGATTGCGATATGACCATCCCCCCTGGGGGGTGATTTCTCGCTTTCTGTCTCTCTGTCTCTGTCTTTCTGGTGAGTGCATGGACCCTATAGCAAAAATCTCTGAAAAAAAAAAAAAAGACACACACACACACAAGAATTTAGTGCTGAGTTAACCTAAGTGTGTAAAACAATTATCCTCTCCCTTCTATAACTCACCATAAGACCATTACATCTGAGTGTTTTCCTGCACACATACATGTGCAGTTGACTGAAACCATCCTTACGGGGGTTTACAAGGACTATAACTTCCCCCCAGGTGCCATCTGTCTTTGCTATTATGCATTAGCTATCTTTAAATTCCATTTTTTAAAAAAGATTAAAATCTGGGTAAATTCTTAAAACACTGTCATAATCGAATTTTCTTAGCATCTTTGACCTCAGGAACTAAATCTTGACCTATATTAATACTATTTACTGGGTCTATGGGAAAACATTTTTGCAAACAGCTAAAAATCTATAGTAAATGTTAAAACTGAGGAAAAGACTCTCAGGCATCAGTATAGAACAATGCAGACTTGTGATCTTATGACATGTGTTGTCTACGTGCAATTGTTTAGGACTCTGAAAAGATGAACATAAATATGGTGATCTGGGTTAATATTGTTATTCACTTAATCTAGTGGTTTTAAAATCATGTCTGTGGATCCATAGTCTTCCAGACTCCCTCATTCCTTCAGCAGTAGGGCAATGCAGATTTTCCCTGTTCTACAAACTATAGTTCCATATAATAGTTTTTAATAAATATTAAGGGTTTTTTAAAGAAATAATTCAAAGATATTTAAATTCCAGTGATATTCATTCTAGTATCCCTTTAAAAAGACACAAAATTTAGAGACCAGCAATTAGCATAATGACTGTTACTGGACTCCCATATAGTCAACTGCGGTTTGAGTCCCGGACTCGGTGCCTAAAACTCATGTGGAGCACGTGTGCATGTGTGCCCAAGATCCTGAGAGGAGAATGGAAGAGAAGGGATTGCAGCATGGCCATACCCCCCCCAGGGGGGGGGGTGATTTCTCACTTTCTGTCTCTCTGTCTCTCTCTGTCTTTCTGGAGAGTGCACACTCCCTATAGCAAAAACCTCTCCAAAAAAAAAAAAAAAAGACACAAAATTTGGAACCAGTAGATGGCATAATGGTTACATTGCTGGACTCCCACATAGTCTACTGTGGTTCAAGTCTCTGATCCAGTGGCTTAAAACACACCAAACACATGTGCGTGTGTGCCCAAAATTCTAAGAAGAGAATGGAGGAGAAGGAGTTTCGGCATGGCTATCCCCCCCTGGGGGTTGATTTCTTGCTTTTTGTCTCTCTGGCAAGTGCATGGACCATATAGCAAAAACCTCTCTTAATAAACAAACAGACACAAATTCTTATTTGCTCTCATTTCAATTGTAGTATAAGAGAAAAAAGTCCCAGAAAATAAAGTTCCCATTCTCTTCTCACCATTTTAGACGTAGTGAATCTTCGATGAATAATTAAGAAAGAATAACTGACAAATAATTTATAGAGGTAGATTAGAAACATATTGGCCATCCTTTTCTTCAGGAAGAAGAGAAACTCAAGTAATATAATAATATAATCATAAAACTGACAATTTCACCTTGGGACATCTTTTGGATGCTAATTAAATCACCACCAGAGATCCAGGTCTCTTTTATTTAAGTCTTCTCAGACTCAGGTCCAGGAGTCCAATTTTTTTCCATGCAAATTCAAGAGGAATTTTTTCCTTATGATGGAACATAAGTCTTTTGTGTGTGTGTCATTAACATTGACAAAAATTCAACTCATCAGTGTTTACACAGATCTACAACTTCTGTGCATCATACTGGAACAAGTAGGGAGTTTTTAAGGATGTTGAGAACCAAACCAAAAATGTCTACCACACACTAATGTTGAATTAGTTTAACATACAAGAGCAACCTTCTGTTTTTCCAACTATTCCAATTAATCTCAAGAAAGATGTTTTTTGGAGCAGTCATTGTGCACTGCCACTGGGGTTAGAATATCAAATGGCTTCAAAGAGCTTTTCACTTCGTTAAGGTCACAGAATACACACCCATCAACCAAACAGATAACAGCAAAGACACAACATTATGAGAACCTTACATATGTGACTGCAAAAAACACACAGTGCAGCGTGATTCTGAAGAGTTTTTGGAGGGTGAGGATAAGGCTGCTGGGATGGGGAGGGCAGGGAACATCATCTGAACTAGACCTTGAAGGATAAATATTAGGTTGTTGGAAAAGTATTTTTTTATATATTTTTCTATGTTTTGCTATGCAAAAACGTGTTATGACTTTCCCAATGACCCAATAGTATTTAGATATATGGAAACTGGCCTTAGAAGGGGGTTGAGAAGGTTGTAGAGAAGGAAAATACCAGGTTTGTTTAGGCAAGGCAGTGAGAGAAAAGTAATTCCTCTTTAATACGTCCACTATTGAAAGTCATAAGATTGGAAAGCAGTGAGCAATTGTTGACTGATACAAGAACGTATCTTTATGTTTTCTGACATCAGAAAAAGGCCTTGAGGGAGAAATGGCTTCTAGATGGAATCAGCAGTGGGAAGGAACAGGAAGAGATGAAGCAGCAAAATCAACAAGACCAGCACCAGATCCAGGTTCTGGAGCAGAGCATCCTCAGGTACAGCCCTCACTGAGACACTCCGCATTACCTTTATTTTGGCATTGTCCTATGTCGTACATAGTAAAGTCATTCTCTGTGGAAGAAGGGTGGGAAAGGGAAGGGTATAGGGAAGGAAATCAGGGAGAAAAAATAGAAAGGCAAAACATTTGTGGGACACAGAAATAGTTTATTACCTGTTGATGATAACGTGTATAGCAGTCTCAGCTGTACTGGTCTGAGATGTATTTCAGGTTGAGTTAATTCTCTTTACAAGCCAAATGATGTATAACAATCCATTTTATTTTAAATTGTAAGAATAATAAAAACATATAAAGAGGGAACCAGCAGTTAGCGTAATGGCTATGTTGCTGGACTCCCACGTAGTCGACCGCGGTTCACGTCCTGGACCCGGTGGCTTAAAACTCACGCGAGGCACATGTGCGTGCGTGACTAAGATCCCAAGAGGAGAATGGAGGAGAAGGGATTGTGGCGTGACCATCCCCCCTGGGGGGTGATTTCTCGCTTTCTGTCTCTATGTCTCTCTCTGTCTGTCTGGCGAGCGCACGCGCCCTATAGTAAAAAACCTCTCAAAAAAAAAAAAAAAAACCATAAAAAGAAAGAAAAGTCATCTCATGTTCATGGATACAATCAGATCTTCCATTTGAATTTCTGCAAAAGACTAAAGAAACAAACCAGAAAGCAACAGTTGAAATTTTTCTATAAACATCACCTGAGCATAGCAACACTAGCTTTATTCTCAAAATGTGTATTGGTGACCTACCTGTACCTGTATGAGCCTATTTCCTGTTGAATGGTAGTAATGCTATCTTTTAGTGTTGTTGGGTAGATTTAAAAATATAAATGTAAACTGGGACCAGTAGATGGCATAATGGTTATGTCACTGGCCTCCCACATAGTTGACCACGGTTTGAGTCCCAGACCTGGTGACTTAAATTCTCACTGGACGTGTGTGTGTGTGTGTGTGTGTGTGTGTGTGCCCAAGATCCCAAGAGAATAGAAGAGAAAGGATTACAGTGTGGCCATCCCCTCTGGGGGACAATTTCTCACTTTCTGTCTCTCTGTCTCTCTCTGTCTCTCTGGCAAGCACATGCACCCTATAGCAAAAATTTGTCTCAAAATATATATGTGTGTGTGCGTGTGTGTTAACTACTAGCACCTTCTTGGAACATGGCAAGTATACAAAAACAGTCCTTCTTCACAGCCCCTGTCCTCAGTCCACTCTCACCTCGCCAGGTTTACAGGTGAGTTTACACTGTCCCTCCACCACACTACTCCCAGCGCCTGACAGCCTCAACCATGATATATTGGAAGAGAAGACACTATAGGGATACTCCACTGACATGTTCCCTCTTCTACATCCTTGTTCAGTTGGTCACAGGTATTCCCATTTCTTTAGTACTTTCCTGCTCATCACGCACTATCAGCACAGGATCAGGCAATGTCTCATGTAGCCAATAAACTGTTAAAATTACTTTGGCTTAAAAGAGAGGAATGAGCATGAAAAACTGAGTAACTCAATTGAACAATGGGATTATTAGTACTATCACCAAAATTTATGTATAGCATGAAAGAAACAACTATGGGAAAGATCAGAGTCATTTTCTAGCCTACATATGGAAAAAAAGTACTTTCTTATGGTATAATCATGGCAATGATTTAAAGTCTACACATCTTTGGAAAACAAGTAACTTTCCAAATCTCACTGACCTTAACTTGTTATCTTCAGCGAGGACCTATAGGAAAGTCTAAGACGTATTTTGTCTATACTCACCACACTGTACAAACATTATTTTAGGCCTAAAACTGATAACACAGAGGAAAGTTTCCTTTTTTCAAATGATTTATATTTACTTGTGTAATTGCATGCATGTGTTTAGTTAGTAGCTAAAATCATTGACTGTGCATCCTTCTTTAGATGTTTCTGAAATGAGCCATTCTTAAAAGTTTACATAATTGAAAGTTTTATTTATAAACCTCTTAGCTGTTTGCTCAAAGATATGAAGTGCTTCCAAACAACAGATCATAAACACCTTTAAAATAACCTAAATCAACTCTACAAGTTGGGAAAACTCAATTCTTTGTAAAGCATCCCTTAGCTAGAGCTTCTTACCAAGAGTCTGCCTTCCACTGATGATTACTTTCTTTATTCCTGCACACAGAAGCCTTATCTCTGAAAGAGTCATGGGTTTAATCCCTGTAAACCCTTCCCACTGCACAGGTACCTCCTTGCTTCCCCTCGGAACCTCCTTTTAGATTCTTTCCACATACTGAACACCTACAACTTGCTCTGCACCTGATGATAATTGAAGTGGCTACATATACTCAAACTCCATCAACAAGTTCGGTCAGCATTTGGAGTAACCCCAGACTATTTACTTGAACTCTACTGATTTCTTTCAGACCTTGCCTGCATGCCCTGAGAAGCATATGCACCTCTAGCTCTCTTGATAATGGCTTGTCTTGCTGGAGCTCCTACTTGACCTAAATAAACGGAGGAGGAGGAAGAGAGATTTAATGAGCCATATTATGCACCAGGCCCTTTCTATATATTGTCCCATTTAATCTTCATAATCCTGTGAGGTAGGAATTATTACCTTCACTTTTCACAAAGACAAAAAGGAATTCATAAAACTAGAAGATCAGAGACTGATTTATTTGACCGCCCTACACTGCCTGTATGATGATGGCACACACAGACTCTGTAGACTGAAAAGGTATTACGTCTGATAGGAAGGCTTTGAAGTATATTCTGCTCATTTGCTCTTCTTTCTCCAAAAAGCTCCTTTTACACTCGGGATCTTCTCTGTATCTCTCTCTTCTCTTTGTTAAATTACCAATGGCATGTCTATTCATTACCCAGTTATGGGCATCTCATTACAACTTTCTTTTAGATCAGGATGCTCTTAACCCATCAATACATCTTTATGATCACCAAATTATTTTAGTCCCCCAATATAGGTGATAATAACAGTAATGATTCATTTCCGAAGAACCTTGCTCAATTTACAAAGCACTTGCACTTACATGAAGACATTTCATTTTCACAGCAATCAAAAAAAAAAAAAAAAACACTTCATTTCATAGATGAGAAAACAGGCTCAGAGACGATAAATTTGATTAAGGTTACAGGGCCAGTAAAGGGTAGTCTTGAGTCTCAAAGCAAGCCAGTTCAGAGCTCTCTGCCTGGAAAACAAAAAGGGAGTTGTCAATGGAAATGTTCTGGGAAGAGTGAAACACCTAACATGGACAAATAGTATCTCTAATAATCAGCAAACTGCTTTGTTTAAGGAATGATCCTAAAAGAATTCATTTGCAAAAAAAAAAAAATACGTTAATAACTTGTATCCTCAGAGTCCAGAGAGGCATGATTTTCTAGTTAGAAATGTGCAAGGAACAGAGTGTTCCAAAGCAACATAGGAAGACCAAAAGAAAAAAAAAACAAAACTGTACCTTGTCTGTATTAAGCAGCCCCCGCTGCTCCACAGCATTATAGAAATCACATTGCCAAAGCAGCTTTACCTGATCACTGAACATTTTCTTCTCAGATATTTCTAAAGCTGCTAAATAATCAGGTTCGTGTTTTTAAATTCAATCTTTCACCTAAACAACTACCTGCACTACTTAAGAAGCTTTTACTGCCAGCTCGGTCAGTACAATTTCCTGCTGGTTCTAAGTAGTGATCAAACCAATGGATAAAGTTGAACTCAGCAGAGCCACCCTCCTCCCCTATGCGGGGACAGTAACCCAAACCCGGAATGTGATTTATCACTTGACTTAGGTGCCTGCTCAAGGGTGACATTCGCCATTCTGCCAGGCCTCTCGACTAGAGGATAAGATTTTAATGGGAATCTCAAAATAGAAATGTTGCTAATACGTTAAGAGTCCATACAGGGCTAGCCTTTGCCCATGAAGTTTTCGTTCCTTCTGCTTCCATGATTTTGTGAGATGAAATGAAAGAGCATGATCTTTGGCCTTGAGACCCACAGTACCTAAGCATGACTATGTTCTTTCATCTCTGTGAGCCTCAGTTTCCTGGCCCACGATAGTGGGTAATTACAGCCACTTCACAGGATTGCTGTGAATGAAGCAACTTTCAGAGTGCCTAACACATGGTAGGTGTTAAAAAAAACTACTAAATACTGGGGGGCCAGCAGGTGGCTTGGTGGTTAAGGCACTGGACACTCCCACATGACTGACCACAGTTCGAGTCCCAGACCTGGTGTCTTGCTTTCTCACTTTCCCTCTTTGTGTGTGTGTGTGTCTCTCTCTAGTCAAATTAAAATGAATGAATAATTTTTTAAAAAAACTATTAAATACTATTTCTTATTAAAAATCAAGAAATAATTAAAAGTCTACTTATGATTAAAGTTCTCTAGTAAGGAGTTTTTTAATTTTTCAAAGTATCATTCTAACCTTCTAAACTTATTTTTTAAGCTTATTTATTTCTTTCATGGAAGAGAGAGAGAGAGAGAGCTATCCTCAATATATTATAGAATTACCACATTTCAGTCCCCACAGCCTCTCAGAGAGCCAGTGTCACCAACATCTGTGGGCATGCCTGATCTATTCAGGTTGACCCAAGATCTAAACCCAGGTTCTTTAGACCTTTATCCAGGTTGGACTTGTTTGTTTTGTTGTGTTTTCATTTGTTTGTTTGTTTGTTTTTTGTTTGCCAAGATCCCTCACTTCTTTATGCAAGTGAGAAGGACATTATTCTTTGAGTAAACTGAGAAAACTGCCCAACTAGGATTCTTCCCATTTAGAAATAACTGATCATTTCTGTATGGCTTAAAGGTTAAAATGCTAATAATAGGGGTTAAATTTTGTAGAATGTTTGCTATGGGCCAGGCATTGTGCTAAACACTTTATGAATATTATTTTATTAAATTCTACAACCTCCTTATGAAGTAGGTAACATTTAACAGATGAGAAAAACTAACATCTAGCCTTTTGGCAGGAACCGCCATCTTCCAGTAATTACCCAAAATAATGATGAC